TTTAATTCTGTGCCCAAGAGGCGGAACAAGAGAAGGCTTTTTTGTTATACAAATCCTCATAAAGAGGAGTGAAGATGCAGTGAAACGCAGGATTAGACTCGTTAGAATATAGCTTCGTAATATACTGTAATGATAATTTTATACGGCGTTGGGTAAGAGAAGGCTCATCTGCCTCGACGTAGAGACTGTCAACAGGAGATGTTCTGAAGGACCCAAGACAAAGTCTCAGACCTTGATGGTGGACTGAATCTAAGAGTTTTAGGTTGCTTTTGCAGGCTCCACCATAAACGATGGAGCCATAATCAAGCTTCGAGCGGACAAGTGATCTGTAAAGGTGTAGGAGCGTAGCTTGATCCCCCTCCCCACCTTGAATTAGACACGACTTTCAATAAATCAAGTGCCTTCAGGCATTTAGTTTTGAGAGATTTGATATGCGGAAGAAAAGTTAAATGGGAGTCGAAAATGAGACCTAAGAACTTGGCCTCTTTTTTACAACCTTGATGGGAGTGCCATTTAAAAACAGTTCTGGGTCTTTATGTGGTTTATATTTTCGGCAGAAGTGTATGCAATTTGTTTTTGATTTAGAAAATTTAAAGCCGTTTTCAAGACACCATTTATGTATTTTATTTAAACACAACTGTAGTTGCCGTTCAATAGTATGCATATTCTTACCGCGACAAGAAATGTTAAAATCATCGACGAAAAGTGATCCATCAATGGAATCGTTTAAAACCTTGGATAAACTGTTGATCTTAATGCTAAATAAAGTGACAGACAAAATACTGCCTTGTGGGACACCCTGATCCTGATTGTAATGGTCAGACAGGGTTGAACCCACTCGGACTTGAAATTGCCTGTCTTTTAAAAACTGTGATATAAAAAGAGGTAAACGACCCCTTAAACCAAAATCATATAAATCCTTTAAAATGCCATGCTTCCAGGTGGTATCGTACGCTTTCTCAAGATCAAAGAATAGCGATACTGCATGTTGTTTATTAACTATTGCATTTTTTGACAAAGGATTCTAAACGTACCAAATGATCAATGGTACTACGATTTTTCCTGAAACCACATTGAATATTTGTTATGAGATTATTGGTTTCAAGATACCATGTCAGTCTATTATTTACCATTCGTTCCATGGTTTTACAGACACAACTCGTTAAAGAGATTGGTCTGTAATTTGATGGATCAGTATGATCCCGGCCGGGTTTTGGAATGGGGACGACAATGGCATTACGCCATGAAGTTGGGAAATTCCCCTGAAGTCCATATTGAATCAAAAATATTTAGCAATGTTTCCAAACATGGTTCGGGCAAATGCTTCAGGAGCTGATAGTGGATATCGTCTGCCCCTAGTTGCTGTATCATGAGCTTGCTCATGGCGGTATGTAGCTCATGTATTGAAAATAATTCATTATAATCTTCACCATTGTCTGAGTTAAAATGTAACCTTTCTCTTCTCCTGTTGTTTCTGGAAAGTTTTGAAACTCAGGGACATAATTGATGAAGATGAGTGTTTGGCGAGAGTTTCACCAAGTTTATTGGCAATATCAGTTTTATCAGTTGATAAATTATCACCATCCTTCAGATGGTGAACAGTAGATTTAGAACCTTTGCCCTTTTATTCTCTGAATCATGTTCCACACCTTGGACATAGGTGTGCGTGAATTTATTTTAGAAACATAAGTTCGCCAAGACTGACGCTTATTTTGTTTAAAAGCACGTCTAGCCTTAGCATTTAAAATTTTAACTTTGTCTAGATTATGGACAGTAGGATGTCGGCGAAAATACTTTTCAGCTTTCTTCCTACACTTTCTGGCCTGTTTACAGTCATTATTGAACCATGGCTTACGAAGGTGTGGAATTGCAGAGGACTTTGGTACAGTTTGGTCAGCAATGTTGTTCAGTATATCTGAAAATAACTGTATAGGATCTTCGCTGTTCGCAAAATGTCATGTTTTAAGTGATCAGTACATAGTGTCTGATACAATGACCAGTTAGCCCTGGCAAAATTCCGTCGTGATAAAGGTGGATCATCACCAGGGTTGACCGCTTTAAGAATGGTGGGAAGTGATCACTCCACATAGGTCATCATGTACCCCATTCAAATTCATTATATACGGTGGAATCGGCGAGTGATAGATCCAGGGAAGAATATGTTCCCGTAGCTGGATGTAAATAAGTGGCTGAGTCATCATTAAAAATACATAATAAATTATTATCGGAAATGAATTCCTCAAGGATTTTACCTTTTGTGTGTATTAGTATGGTCACTTCCCCAAAGTGGGTTGTGACCGTTCAGATCGCCCATGATGATACATGGCTTCGGAAGCTGGTCATATAGGTTTTTAAGATCCGACTGTCTAATATCAGTAGAGGGAGGAATGTATAAACTGCACAGAGTCAATGCAATATGCAGGGTGATGCGAACAGCAACAGTTTGAAGATTTGTACTAAGAGGAACAGGGCTGTGTATTATCCCTTGCCGTACCAAAATGGAAGCACCTCCAGTTGCTTTGTCTCCTGGAGGAGAGAAAGAGTGATAATCACTATACCGTCTCAGAATAAAGTTATCGGTATGTTTTAGATATGTCTCTTGGAGACATATAGCTGACGGTTGAAAATCCTGTGTTAGTAATTGAATCTCGTTGAAATTATGTTTGAGTCCTCTGCAATTCCATTGAATTATAGTGGACAATTGAGTCATGGTGCCTCAATTGGTGATCGTCCACGTGAATGTGAGGAAGTGGAGCTCCTCCGTGTGTCCTGAGTGGACGGTGACACCTCCATATCTAGAGGTTCAAAGGGGTTCTCAAAAAGGAACCTCTGAAGGTATTGGGACAGTTGGTAATTGTTGTTTCCTGTTGAATTTTTTTTCCTTTCTTTTTTTGGGCAAATGACCAGTGTTTGACTGTTGAGCTGACGCTTGTGATGTCTCTGGCTGAGTCTTAGTCTGAGAGTCTGATAAAGACTGAGAGACAGATGAAGTCTGAGATCCAGATGAGGTCTGAGAGGCAGATGGAGATTGAGGGAGCTCGGGATGTCGAGGGTAAGGGTGAAGAAGAATTCATGGGCTTCTCTGATTTGACCCAAGTCAGATCTGTTTGACAGCTAACAGAGGATGTCATTACAGACCGAGTTACTGCAGCAGAGTATGACGGATGTAATGGAGTCTGATTCTCACTTTTAAAGAGTTTTTTAGCGTCAAGGTATGGGATGTTCTTTTCACACTTCAGCTTCATTATTTTTTATTCCGTTTGCCAAACGGGACAGGATTTGGATGAAGAGTCATGTGGACCAGAACAGTTTGCACATTTAAACTCTTTTGTCACAGTCTGCGTGTTCATGATTGTCACCACAGCGATGACACACCACAGAGCCACGACAAGAGTTGGATCCATGACCAAATTTCTGGCATTTATAACACCGAATGGACTGGGGACATACATCCACCCGATATTAAAGTATCCTGCCTTAATTGACTGTGGTAAAGATGCACGGGCAAACGTCAAGAGATATGTATTAGTTTTCACAAGGTACCCTCTCTTGACGGTGAAACGTTTTACAGCGGTTACACCTTGATCTACAAGCTCTGCAGCAATATCATCCTCTGACATGTCGAACAGACAGCGAGCTCTGTCGCGAATGATTCCTCGACATGAATTTAATGTTCTGTGCACAGACACAGCAACCTCAATATTGGCAAAGTTGTGATGGACAAAAGATTGAGAGACTGCTGTCTCCGTGCACATTCCACCAGAAGTGAACCACTACGGAGACGGGTGACGTTCTTAACATCTCCACAAATTCCAGAAACAGCCTTAGATATCGCAAAAGGATTTAGTTTTATAGGCAGAAAATCAGTTGCCTCAATCACAAGGAAACGAGCCCATGAGTCAGAATTCGAAGAAACAGTTTTGAAGGGTCAGCAACATGTTCGAAACGTCGCTTTTTTCGTCGTTTCGCAATGAACCAGATGGAGTGGGATCCATGATAAGTGTAAATAGATTCAGCACCACTGCTCCCCACCCACCATGGAGTGTCAACAAGGACAGTGTCAAATAGCACCGATCTCCTAGATGCTGACACCAGGGATACAGTGGCGTTATACTCCAGAGACAAAGACTTGAAAAGCTATGGAAAACTAAAAGAATAAATGCCAGGCTGGTTCGGCCCATGACACCATTCCCAAGAATCACAGATTCCAGAGGTCTATTATCACCAGATTCCGTTTGTATAAGCGTCGTGTTGGTGGACCTATTGGTCCTGAAAGTGGATGGTTAATTAAAGTGAATGAGTTTAGTTTTACGCCGCTTTTAGCAATATTCCAGCAATATCAGGAGGGAATACATCGGAATTAAAGGTATGAAATGAAAAGTGCACGCAGTTCTGATAATGTAATTTTCATTTCTCATCCCAGTAACGACAAAACCTACGATATTACAAAACCAGCTTATACTGAAGGCTGACAAGGACACTGAAGCACCGGGAGACATCAACAGTGATCCACCTCAGAATGTAACTTGGTCAAACATTGCGTCACCGTCCGGTGTGGAGTTCAGCTTTACGACTAAGCACATACCAGAAAGTAACCCAGGAGTTGATCCGAGTAAAGGAATTAGGACACGTCGACAAGCCACACCAGGTTTTATTGAGGGTTATGAAGTGGGCATAGTCAACGCTTCAGCCAAGTTCACACTTAGAAGACAAACGAACGGTACAGTTTTTACTGATAGGTATTGGGAATGCTATGATACGTTGTTCTCAGGAATAACCATAAGGACTTGGAAAGCATTATTAAGGTTAAACAGGCATATATGATTTTTGGAAATGATCACCAAACAGTTTATGGTTTTGGTACAGAATGTCATGTTACTTGAAGTAGCGTAATTGATCTTTCATCAGAAATGTTTACTAACATGTGGAAATATTGACTAATAATGTATAATTTTAGCACAGAGAATTGAAGTCTTCAAAAGAGAATTCAAGTGTGATTGCGTACTATCACGTTGTACCAACGTGGCTGCTTGTAGAGACGATCCTGCTACCAGCAAACGTAAGGAAGAATTTAAGCCTCCTGTACTTAAAATGTATTCATATTCTCTGTCAACAGCTATCTGTATCCATTTTAACACCGTTCTAAAGCAAACTGAATTTAATGGTTCTTGGTAATGACTGTCATTTGCCACTGATTATGTATAGTACATGATTGATGAGTGAGACAAACAGGGTGATTCTTGTGAATGTTGAAGGTGCAAAGAATGTCCCATGTGACCGCCCCAGTAAAGACAACCCTGACGTAGATGGCTACACATGTGCAGGCAAGAAGACAGGGGAGGAAGTCTTTCCATCACTCCTGCCCTTCCGTCACAGGGATGAGTGAGTAACTAAATCGTTGGGGGTATCAGAGAAAGTTCAACACACTCGTACACTATGCAAAACTTTGTTTGTATGAGTGATACTGAGGATGTAGGTCTGACGCTCATATTGTTCCATGGCAACTTCTTCACCTATTCTTACCCGACTAATCCTCGTATCATCACCTTTAAATGGTGGCATTCAGGCATAGTAACAATGTTAACAATTACATGAATATTAATGTATTTGGGTATCGATTTAGATCGAAACCCCGCCATTCCATCCTTAGTGAAGATTACACAGCGGAGCAGGTTGTGAATATTTTGCATTTCCTTTGACAGTATTGTGTTTTCCTACACGGCCACCAATGGCGGATACGTCAAAGTCCGGAACCAGGAGAGTAACACACTAGCGACCCACTACTACGACGGTGCCACACAGACCCACACCTTTACTGTGTCCATTGACCTGGTGGCTCCGTATCATGCTGGCCGTTCTACTCCTGCCTGTGTTGGCAGCATGTTGGCTGCTCCCAATATCATCCGTACTGTAAGTGTACAGAGTGTACAGTGTATATTAGCAACATACTGTCAAAGTAGATGCTTAAGATGGTAAGATTTCCTTGTTGCCCAGCAACGAAATTTTCAATAATCTCCATTTCTATACATCATCACAAACACGTCCCGCTGAGCTTTATGGCGGCTACATCCATGACAAAGGAAAAGCAGTGCCAATCTGTTATGTTTCTTTGAAAACGTTTGTGACAAGCGTCTTATCCTGGCGAGAAAAAATACAATTGGTAGACCCGCAGCTGTTCAATCGCAACGTGTTTTTAACATTGTCAGGAACACAATTTTCCTACCTTGAGAACTACATTGGCCCATGGCACCATAAAACATAGACGTGGTGTTTTGACAGCTCCTGGAAATCAAACAGGAATGAGTTAAACGACCTCTTTAAATACATACTGGCTGCAAAGTGCCATCCACTGGTTTGTTGGTTCCAATGGGTGTCGTGCAGTTATTGAGAACAAACGATACTGAGCTTCAGGTGATGACAAAACCACTGCATGTAACGATTTAACCTCAAGCTATTTCATTTTAAACACCGTCGAACCCATGGCCTCAAGCGCCATGTGTTTCTTTCAAAGCTTTGGTCAAGACATCTGTACAAAATAAATTGCTCGAAAGCATGAAAAACAACTTGTTTGGTTAGTTTATCATTGTTTACAGTTGATAAACGCATTACGTCTTTCAGCCAATAGTGAACCTCCGGTGGAGTTGCTGGTCAGATGCTGACTCAGGCATTGACCGTTTTGTGAGGGGAGTGACTGAACTCCAAAAGATGGGGGTGTTCTCCGTGAACGGTCTGATGGGTTTGATCATATGGATTTCAACAGCTCGACAGTTAGTATTTGTTTTACCTGTTACAAACGTGATTTCATTGATAAGTGAAAATAGTTCCTTAGAATTGTGTGCGCAGATGTTTGTACGTACGTTCGTGTGTTAGTGTCCATAGATATACTGACATTTTGTGGACAGAGTAAGTGGAATAAAATACACACGACACGCTAATGTACTCCATAAGTCTACCCTATATATGTTGTCACCATCGTCCATAACTGGCAATTCGGAAATTTCAGGAGTCATATAGAAACTCAAGTCTATAATTATTCTTACATGTACGTACATGCAGTTGCAGGAAACGATTATTACCATAACAAATGTATGTATGAAAGCTATCGATAAATAATCGATACAAGGCTGAATGGCCCAAATACCAGTCCTATGTCGGGAATAAGAAATCATAGAAGAAGACATTTTACAACATAGCGGGTTATTACGGTGCTATTGGCGCCCTCGGTTTGGTTTTCATTTAATCAAAATACTACACTGAAGTTTAGAGCGCAAATGAGTAAGTTGTTTCAAACCGCTTTACCCGGGAGGTTTTAAACTTCTCGGCTTTCTTGTCCTAAATTTGATGTTTTACAATAATTTCTATTTATTACCAAGGAATTCCGATTGACACAATTCGTTAAACATTGATGGATGGATCAAAACTTGTGTTATGTTTCATCTGTTCACTCTAATGGTAAATGTATGGATGCCAGTTTGTTTTATAATGAGATGAGGAATGGGGTATCATCCAAAGAGTTCAAAGAGGGCTTGATCGGAAAAAGGAGTCTAGGGTTGGGAATAATTATAGTAATCTAGTCCCCTTATTCTAACGCCACTGACCCTAATAATAAAAGGCACTCGTGTCTCCTGTAGAGATGTTGTGGGACCCATTCTGTACTGAATCGTAAATTTGGCTTTTGAACCTTTGGATTGATATTCTGGAAGTGAGTCAACATACCGCTTCAGAGATAACAACTTATGTTTTTAACATGTATCGTGGTGTATATATTCTTGCACCGTTATCACTCTAATCTGATAAAGGTGTAAGAACCCTCATCGTAACGCCACTAACTGCCAGGGACCAGAGGTTGAAATCCATAAAATGTTTAACTTCATTACCGAGGAGGTTTATTCTTTTGGATTAAATGCCCAAGTCAGTATATACATTCTCGTCACGATTCCTCGAAACTGTCAAACCGTAAAAAATATCTTAAAGCCCTTCATATGTAATGTCTCCATTTATATAGCGCCAAACTCCACACCAAGTATGTTCATGGCGCTAACAATGAATAGCACAGCACATTATTACTCCGGAATAGCTCAAGCTGCCTAGTAGGCGCTAGAATGTTATAGTCTTTTAGTCTGAGTTATCCCATCTGGTACCCATTTTCTGCTGGGGGAACAGTGGCAATATTGAACAAAATCACTTGCCCAAGGTGAGACCACATGTACCACATGTGCTTAGTTGTGGGGGAGGACTGAAGTCCTAGAAACTCTCAGGACTCAAGCTGCCAAACACGGTCACCTATCCAATGACTCTCCGCGCCCAGCGTTACTTAACTTCAACTGATTTGTGACCTGAGCTCTATGCAGAGGACTACACAACACCATATGTATATCCAGATCTCGTTAATGATTCCTTTCAGTCGTCTGAAAACTACGTGCTAACCAGTGATGGCGTCTACGAGATCGTGCTAACCGTCTATGACAAGGCAGGTAATCACAGAAATGCCAGGCGGATCCTTATGTATGATAGTAATTCGACTGTAACAACACAAGAAAATACAACTCTCTCCGTGACGACAGCATCATCAGCAACGTCATCATGGCAAATGACGTCATCAGCGGTGACAGTAGACTGGACCAACAGATACATCAACACAAAACACGATCACAACAAGTGGCTCGGCCAGATTGACACCGTGACTGACGTTGAAGCCCCCTATGATGACTACGAAGGTGACAGAACAGTTGATGCCATCGATAATGTTCAAGGTATGTCTATGTCCTGTCTGTGATCTTGTGAATGTACAATGCCGTCAGGTAATTCCGCGCACCTAAGCACATCGATCACAACACGGCAACTAACGTCTCTTATTTTTTGTGGTTTACGTGACTAAACATGTTGGTATGCATCATATTTACCTAGAAATATAAGTTTTATTGACGACTATAAGATTCTAACGTTGCATTATGCCATACGGTTGACCTTACCGGCGTTCTGACGACATCGCTTGCTGTCCGGTAATTCTGCGCAGCAACTGATGCGCATAACATCCAGCTGGAGATCCGAAGTATGGGAAGCGTATTAGGGCCAGATTATTTTTAAAAAATCACTTCATCAATGTAAGGAAGAGTGTTTCATATTAAATCCAATTATGAAAATGCAGAAAAAAGGTTTAAAAGTCTGAAGAAAACGCATTTTCATAAAACTGTCAATTTATCTGTCAAATACTGTCATTTACTTACCTTTAGTGATTAAAAGCCAGTCCCTTGAGATATGTCCTGATTTCGCGTAGCAGACGATGCTTAATAGGTACTTGCAGCTGCGCAGAATTACCGGAGCGTTACAAGACTCGCTTGTACATATCAGCTAACATGTCAATGATGTTAATTCTTCGTGCATGATCTGTCACATCAAGGACACTTGCCGATCCTGTGAATACGCAATGGTGTTGATCAAATATTATATCCAATAAGGTTTCCGAATCTCCTTTAGTGAATGAAATTACGCATGGGTCCCGTTCATCAAAGCGATCGTAGCGCTAAGATGATTGTAACTCCCATACTTTAACGTAGACTTACGACTGTACTATACGATCGCTTTGAGGAACGGGCCCCTGCAGTGTATCTGAATATGTCACCGCAGCATAAGCTACATTTACAGGTGTGTTGACGTGTCATGTAAAGGAATTCAATATAATTTATATTCCATATTTATGGAAACGCAGTCGTGTAATAATGCATATAATTTGTCTACTATTCAGGTATAACTCGCTTCCTCACCTTTTACAAAGTCGACCACCAAGGAGGGTCGTCCATCACCAGCCCACCAGCTGATAACCTGTTCACCAGTCAAGGTCTGAATCAGTCACAGACCATAACACCCTCACTAGTGGACGGGGACACTGTACGCTTCTGGGTTCGAGCCTATGACATCATGTCGGAAATGAAAGAAGAGAATGTGACAATCCATATCGACACATCACCTCCAGTCATAGAGAACCTGTGGCTCCAGAGGAGACAGACTGAACGTCAGTGTACATGGAGCAGAGACACTCACAAACATTACGTAAGTCAATGTCTTCCGCATGTTCGTAAATCTCTTCTTGTTTGTTTGTTTCATTAATTGCTGCTTCGGTACAATTCCAGGATAGAGTGGGTAGCGTATGATGAGCACAGCGGTCTGGAGACGGTATCCTGGAGAATAGTGGACAGGTATCACAACCAGGAGATCGTACATGGAATAGGGCATATGACGGCACAAGGAGAAGCCACAGTGAGTAAACTGTGAATATTCGTCAACACTTGATGGTTGAGAGCTGATAACCATTGTTTACAAGAATGACTCATATTCGTGCACATCTGACAACTGTCCACTTTCTCACTAAAATGTGCGTCAATTATCATAATGATTGTTTCCATTCTAATTTTGAGGACATGATGCACGTCATACCCATTCGATGTACAGTGGATAGCGGTAACTATAATAATGACAAACTACACAAGATTTAAAATGAAACCAAGTTCATGGTTTGTTGAAAACAACATTTTGCTTATACATGCTATAATGTCACATATATACTGCCAAATGACACAGTGTAAGTTTTCTAAGATTCCATATGGTAACATTGAAGAAGTATTTGGTATAACTATGGTAACATTGAAGCAGTATGTCAAAGGAAGTGACATGATATGCTGTTTATTTACTGATTTGCTGGAAAAGTTTCTCTCCTTTAAACACGTGCTCCTTTTCGATCGTTGCATGGTAGGGTAGGCCTCAGGGCAGTACCGTGTTTTAAGAAAAGCCATATGACGTTTTGGTTGTGAAAATAGAGATATAATGTATGAATATAATAATGTATCATTCGCAAATGTAATAATATCTTCAAGCAGACCCGCAAATATATTCATGAACTTTTGCATTATCTAACGAGCGAAACTCGCCCGAAAACATTGATGTTGTTGGCTGTTACCAGGCAGTTATTTATACATTCCAGACAATTGAGGATTGCAATAATAAGTACGAAGACAATGCGCGGGGGCAAGCTGCTACTGTACCCCCTTTAGCGGGTGCTATCACCGTCACTTCCATGTTGTAACTGCTATGGTGGACAGCAATAACTCTCATGGAGGAATACTCGACAGCAAAGAAACGGGAGTTCACGATTCTGACTACTATGTGGAGGTCACTGTAACAAATCAAGCATTGCTAACAACCAAACTGGACTTTAAGGTACGTACCTGAAATTGACCTACAACCTCGTAACCCGTTCCACAAAGCGGATCTATGCCCCATACTATAACATAAACACAGCATCAACGTAGCGCGGGGTATGTGGACCTTAGTCAGTGATCTGTTCACCATGCATGCGTTCTACATGAAATGATTATTAATATATCAATAATAAATGGGGAAATATATGTCAAAATTTGTATATATCGCCATACACTTGTGGATCTGTAACATAGATACTGTATTCGTTCGCAGGTTACAATAGACATTAGTCCTCCTCATACTGGCGTTGTCCACGATGGTCAGTCTGGACACCCGGAAGTGGACTATCAGGACAGTCTACAGCTCCACGTCCACTGGGACGGGTTCTTTGACAGAGAGAGTGGGGTCATGTTCTATCAGTACATATTTAGCTCTCACTGCCACGGAGCCGACGCTTTTGATCTGGATGTTCCTTCACAACAGGCATGTACTTTCTCTTGCAAACTGTATGAAACGTTATCCACTGTATGCCTATTTGTGAAATGTATTTTCCTAAATATCATCTTACTCACATACAGGTCACGGAAACCTATTCCACATCCGCCTCCTGGACAGCGCCCACTGTCGGCAAGTATCACGTGACAGTGGTGGCCTTCAACCGAGCACTGGAAGCATCTGACCCAGTGTGTTCTGACGGAGTGACTGTAGACACAACACCACCCAGTGTCAGTGAGGTGGCAGTGAGAGACTCCAGGGTGATGGAGGGGCTGGTCAAGTCATCAGATAATGTTGTGTGGTTCATCGACGCCCACAGGAGACGTGCCCAGGTGGTCAGTCCAGATGACAGTTGCAGGTACAGAAATAGCTTATCAACATAGTTAACTGTCATCTGCTTCAGTCAGTACTTATATGAGTAATTGGGTTAAATATAAGATGCATATAATTCAGTTCAATAACTCTCAGCAATACAGTCACTGATTGACGGATGTATCAGTATCATCCGAAGTTTGGGATTTGTGTGTTTTAACACACGATTGATTGAATGTTTCTTAAATTGTACTTATGAGGATTTTACATTGGATCCAGGTCCATGGCCACGCCAGTAGATGACGAGAGATTGTCCTTGTTTCCAATACATCGTTACATCAACGGAAGTAGGATACATATGTACACCGATGGTTGTGGATCTCTAGTCGGTATGCCTCCCACCTTCATCACGTCTCTATACGTCTGCAGGGAACATCACGTGAGTGAATAAACTACCGGGTATTGCCATTATATGGAGCTTGAGGATTAACTTAGTTCTGTTCGTGGTATTTGTGACAGCACCATATCTATTATGTTGTTTAATTCTCCACAGAGAAATATTCGTTCACAAGCCGGTATGGAGATTTTAGCTGAATGTGGCAGTACACCTCACAATGAACTAGGAATGCTAGAAACTGAATTATATTAAGACATGCATATCATAGCAGTATTTATGAAGTGGAAAAGTGCTAAAAAAAACTTGAAATGTATGATGTCTACATTGGTATATATTTATATAGTTTGTTGTGTCATGTCCTCACCTTCCATTGCCAGCTCTTCGTAAACTGGACTGGCAGTGACACTGAGAGTGGTATCTATGACTACGAGCTTGGGCTGATGTCAGATCCTTCTGGTGAAGCAGCTCCAGATATCCTGCCCTACACGTCCACTCATCATCATCCTCAGTATCAGGGCTACCATACCCGTCTCAGTGAGGGGCAACAGTTCTACATCGCCATCAAGGCCATCAACAAAGCTGGCATCTCAGCTTCAAAGGTATGACATTCACTGAGTGAGTGAGTGAGTGAGTTAAAGTGACATTCGCTGAGTTTACAGTAAACATAACATGTTAAATCCAAGTTTGACAGTTCTTATGCTTTGTGATATAAATTTTCTTTCATTTCTAAGGTTGTGGGCCCTGTAAATGTACATACCTTGTACCCTGGATTTTCTGGATCGATCAATGTTATGTTGGAAAGTAACGTTCTGGTTGCCCGATGGAATAAGGCCTTCACAGATCCCGAGTTACGGTATCTCAAGTACGAAGTCTCTGTGAGTAAGTATACTTTGTCATCTGCTCAGCATATGTCGATGTATTAGACCCGTACGCCACTGTCGTGGGGTATAGTATCGATGGAATACGTCTGTAAAGTAAATGCAATAAACACTCTGTGTGTGTGTGTGTGTGTGTCTGTGCCTGTGTGTGTAACAGTTTGTCTTATGCGCATATATTGTTGTTTATATTTAACCAATACAAGTAAACACATTTTGTTTCTATTCCTCAATCAATTCTTGAACTTCTAGGCGGTCAGTCGACAATAATCCCCTTCACGACGCTGCAGTCAGGAGGAGGTTGTACACTGACGTCGCCACCCACGTGTACAGCTGTTGCCCTCACAGACCTCCACTGGGACCTCCATCACAGCCACACCTACTTTGTGTCAGTCAGAGTCACCAACATAGTAGGACTGTCTACAGTGGCAGTGTCTGAACCCTACGTCCATGACGTCATGCCGCCGTTACGTGGTGTAGTGGAAGACGTTATTCCAGCTGGAGAAGAATCTTTGCTCGAAATAGATGTACGTGTATCTGTTGGTTCCGAACCAAGACTCAGAATAAAAGGTCATCTTTTCTTTAATATCCTGTATGTTAATCAAGTGAACATACAGAAGCCATCACTGGTGACCACGATCCCTTGTTTGGCGATCTACCTTCAGTTGTTGGCCTTTATAGCCTGTTTTATATTGTGTACTGTACAAATAGTGCTGTTAATTTTAACTTCACATACTAGCTTAAGTCTAATAGTGACAATCTAGCAGCTTTGCTGTCTTTTGACAACAGGTTTTTATCATCTATACATATTCTTTACCAACGTCAAATCTTGTTCTTGCCACGATATGGCTGAAAAATTGCCAATGTGACGTTAAATATTAACTCACTCACCTATATTTGCTGTATTTATGATTCAATATAACTGAAATGTGATGATTTTTGGAAATGCATTGAATATTCGTATGTACTGCTTCTGTACATTCTTCTGTACTGTCACCTTTAACTTGACGAGGCATCACCAGGACCACATGAACATGTGTGAGTAAATTATTTGAGGGTATTCAGGACACAGACCAGCAAATCTCAACAGGTTCCCTAACGGCCAGATGGCATGGATTCGTCAGTGAGTCTATGACCGCAACATACAAAGTCGGGATTGGATCTCAACCTCGTACATCAGACGTCAGGAATTTCATAGACGTTGGCAAGGTCTCGCAACATGAGTTTATTGGCCTGAATTTGCAAGAAAACCAGGTTTGTAGCGCACAATGTTGCAAGTATATATACATATGTTGAGAATACTTTTAGCTTGATATAAGATGAATCGTTATCGAATCTCCATCGAACAGATTTTGGAGTGTCTCCCGAGTCAATAAGAGTATAATTTTCATACGTTTGTGGTTATATTTTTAGATAAAATATGATTTGCAGATAGGCGGTGTTTCATCGTAGCAACAGATTATTCTATTCATTGGAAATATTTTGCTTTTTTGTTGAACATAACTGACGATTTGTCTTGTTTTGTTCCCAGAACAAGGTCATGATGTTACGGCGACGATCAAGATGGTATGTATGTGATTATGGTGCAAATAGAGCTTTGTGTGAAGTGATGAAACACTGGAGAGAGTCACTGTTTGTACCTACTGATTCCCCTTGTACTTACTGAAGTGTAGATAACAATCAACCTTTACTCTTAATCAACTTCCAGGATTGTTCTCGTGATCTGCAATTTCAAGCCTCTACTTCAACATATGCAGCCCACTGGATCAGCAATACCAGCACTACTCTGGGCTACCCGGATGTACACTGGGGGCTGCAAGCACAATTACCCAATTCAGGTAAATGAGAACTTGAAATATAGCTTCCAAATATTTATGTGTATTTTATATCACAAAGTACATTTGTGAAGGAAAATGCTCTTAATAATTCTATTTTGATTAAAAGTTATCAAAATATCAAACAAGGTGTCAGTATTGAAACAAAAATGTTCGAGGATGATAACATATGAAATATGATTCACGAATTGTTTGCTGATTTGATTTTCTAGTTAAGCTATGTTATTAACAGTTATTATTGTATCATATTATATCGTCACATGTTGTATTTGCACCTGAGCAGATATCTGGAACACCTGAGATTTCCGAGCCCCTTGGGTCGACTGAGAGGCTCATAGTTGGTAACTTAGCTTTAGAACCAGGACGAACCTTCAGGGCTGCAGTCAAGTTCTGTGCTGGTAAAGTCTGTACGAAGCCCACCCATAGTGACGGTGTGACTGTCATACCCCATCCCCAGCAGCTGGAAGCATGGCATTAACATATCAGGAAACTGACGGGGACCGGCACAGGTAACGTATGAAAAGTTTGAAAGTAAATACAATATGAAGTCAGGTATACTTAAATATTTTTCTTGAATTCCTTTTCTTGGAGGCATGTGTAAGTTCTGAGTGAGGAAAACATATATGGATGACCAACTTCGTCATCATAAGAGTGATGTTCAAACAATCAAACATCAAACAATTGTCAGACACATGCAACAACCATAAGATAAGATAAACGTTATAGACTCTGCCAACGACTCATGTTTTAGCCATTTGTACCGAACCTGCGATGTCATTACACATACGTCTTGTTAATACATACTCACATTACCATTCTGTAGCCATAACTGCATCCGTCTTCCTAACATCGCATACAAACCTTCAGGCATGGACAAAGCCTGCTGATAATGTGTTTGCATGTTATTAGTTGAGTTGAGTTGAAAAAAAGAATCGATAGTGTATGATGTTTAATAATACACAGAACTATGTGTGTCTAGATCCAAGTTATGATGTCCCGGTTCCGTGATCCTGATATACCGATTCTGTCAGAAGCCTATGACGTCATGATCAGATATGAATGGGGTCTCACAGATAACAGTCACAACAGCAAGATGTTGATCAACTGGCAGGAGGTGGATGCTGGCAGTATTGTCAGTATCAAAGACGAGGTACGCAAGAACAAAATATTTCGTTATAAGTTATCATTACCCTTTCTTCATTTATCGCCCTATTGCAAAGGTCATTGAGCTATTGGGTGTGTTTCCTTTGCTGAAGAATAATGGTAGTTCTTTGTTTCCAGACACGTTTTCAGATAACTCTTCTGAAGCAGCTCGACTTTACCAAGTGCAGAAGACTGACGGTCAGGGTTACAATGTAGTTGGCATGTATTCAACAACTTCAGCAGATGTCAAAGACTGTAATGCCTATGACCCACGTAACGTTGTGCCTGCAGTCGTGGTAGATGTTGTTGGTGAGTAAATGCTGAATAAGACAAAACACAAAGTAAACAACTGGTCAATACAAAACACAACAACATTGTTATTTGTTTTTAGATTTAACAAATCCAAGTTTGTATGAAAGTAACCTTACGACAGATTTCAAATTCCGTGTATATATTCGTTGTTCTTGAGTGTCACTGTCTCAATCAAAGATTTTAGAAACTACTGGAACACATGCAACTGATACAAACCGTTGTGATTTAAGGCACAGCGAAAGGACCACACCTGGGATATAGCATCAGTTTAGATCAGAACAATCACTGGGAACACGATGATGCTGACTACACTCCCTACAAGAACATCCTGTCTGCTGTGTGGCCGACTCTACGTCACAGGAACTACACGTGGGCAGTGGTGTCAGGTGACCAGTTGGACCCCTCATCTCCCTACAAGAGAGAGACTCTGATGACCGTCACAGACCCCTGTAGCATGCCCGATGTCATCAAGTGTGGACACATTGGTAATATATATGTACACATATAAATACAACTTTGAAGATATCATTAAAATATCATTATTATTTGAAATGCATTGCGAGCGTGAATTTAGAAATAACTCGACTCAGATTGTTCAGTCAAATGAGTGGTTATCAAATAATCGCGATAACACGCTTCTGAACAGGTGACCTTTACTGTTATTTTGCTGGGGACACAACGCAAAGTTGCAGTTTCTAACATATTCATAGGGAATGCATGCGGCAATAAATCTTGTACAGAAAACGCAATAGAAATCTGTAAAGTGTGTTTTATATTTATGATCAATCGAGAACCCGGAAATCGGCAGTTTTTACATAACGGTAACATTATATTTTCCGATATGGCGTGACTTACATTTGAACAAACATGTTGGAAGTTTGTTGCTTCTGTAGGGATGTCCAATTGTTAGCTTACGAAGTAGCTGTCTACCATGTTTTCAGTGATAATTACACGTCTGAATGAGGTATTACCTGAAGTGTAAGGCCATTGCTTGAGGGGTGTAATACGGATATTTTGTTTAAAGGATGACTCCCCTAATTTACATTACAACATTGGATTCATGCGGCTTCTGTAATATATAAATGTGATAACACTTACGGGTTTGCCTAAATTGTAGAAGGTAAGGAATGTAGGTATGTTTAAGCTTGCCGGTTCTCAATCTAAAAAATAAAATTATCTGTTTTGAACGAAAATTCTGTTAAATCTACACCTAGCAATGCATCGCAAACACACTGCGATTGTCTTCTAAGCGAGTATGGCTCACCTGCAATCATTTCGTAATTTATCAGTTCACGAGTTCCTCAACGTAGAATTCACCCAAGAGGAATACCTACATCATGGCAAGAGATTTTATGTGTGCATCCACGCTGATGAGAAAAATACAGCGTTCGAGAAGTGGACGTCCCAGCTGGCTGAAGTGAACGCCTGTAGTGATGGCATCGCAGTCGACCTCACGCCACCGACACACCAGAGACGGTGAACATCGAAGGACTCACAGACGGATCCTTTCAGGTACTGGTATATCGCTACCAGACAGACAGATTCCACAACATTCGCATTCACTTTGAACACCTACTCTTGGTAGGTTCTCTATAACAAAGTCTAAGAACAAAATCATAGCCAAACCCCTATCACGTCTTTCAGATTAGCAGAACAGAGGTTTCCCTGAAATGGACAGACTTCACTGACATCGAAGAAGAGAGACAGATGGCTCATCTGAGTGGCATTTCACATTATGAGGTAGCCCTAGGTACGAAGAACCACATAGCTTACTTTAACTAAAATAATGTTCAGTCGATTCTCTCAACAACGTGTGTCCTGCTGCATGTACATCGGAATGAGTTCTTTAATTACACCCGACTGAATGATAGTAAATCGAAAGACAATGGCCAACCATGAATGTTTCTCTCTAGGATCTCTCTTCTGGGGACAAGATGTGGTCAAGTTCACCAATGTTGATCTGTCGACCATTACACGCTCCATAGTCTTCATCTACATACTGGAAATACATACTATGCCTCAGTGAAAGGTATAACGACATAGAAAAATAAAAATAAAGAAAACACTAATGACCCATTTAACATCTATATATGGTTGATGTGAATCTGAATGTGAGGCATGCTGGTTCCTCTCTATGTCAAACAGCATGGGACTTTCATTACGCACGCACTCAAAATGTTTTTCTTTCGTTCTTATTTTTCCTCTATATTACCCATGATGCTGTCATTTTAGCCACGGATTTCGTCAACATGTCAACGGTGGCTGTGTCAGAAGGTTTCCTCTTGTGGACTCCACAGCTCCAGTCTTGACTGGCCAGCTTCTACAGCTGGAGGGACGCTACATCACATCGCGTGTGGTGCATGTCTGGTAATATCGAATTGATATATAAACCTGTCATGATCAAATGATGTAACCCAAGATGTACCTTCCTTCTTGTACCAGTAGTTCTGAAGGCAAATACCCTTCATTGAGATTTTTAGTGATGTATTAACCCTATGTATTTTAACATACAGTTACTCAATTGGAGTCTATAGAATGTAGGTAATCCCCCTCACCTGGCATATTTAATTTTGTGTGTAGTTATCAATACTCGGTGAGTGAGTTAATATTTAACGTCGCATCGGCAATATCTCAGCCAAATCGTGACGAAAACAATTCATGCAATAAAATGAAAACAATTTGAAGAGTAAAACCTGTCGACGATGGACAGTAAAAATACTAGAGAAGGTCAGATATGAATATAAAACTAGCATGTACATCTAAAACATTTTAATCGAAGAAGACAATACAATATAAAACACGGGCTATAGATCGCCAACAACTGAAGGTAGAACACCATACTAGGAACTTATCAATGCTGTGCAAGATGACTCTGAATGATGTCTGTTATAAGCTGGACCAACGTGTTCTTAGACGAGGAGAGTGGAATAAGAGAATACATGGTTTCCATGGGTACCAGGACCTGCGTATGCTGACGTGTCAGAGAACGTGATCACTGACCAGGATTGCTTTGGAGGTTGATACGTCAAATGTGGAGGATGGACATTCATATTATATTTCTGTGAAGGTACATACGAGCGCAGTAACTTGTATTTCGATAAGGCATCTATCTGTCTCTACACTACGGTACAGCTGTATTAATAGATTTACACAGATTTTCAAACCAGATCGGTTTTCACTCTTCCTACATATTATCCTGGTGATTTTTCATGCTTAAAAAAGCATATTCTGTGTATTCATTCATAGTTAATGTCACGTTTGCTACTCACGACATGGAACTGTATGCATATATTTTTACCCTTAAACATATATTTGGCTTAGGCCGTCAACGGTGCAGGTCTGTACACTCTGTCCTCATCACGACCTCTGGTTGTGGGACACCACGCCTCCATCTACTGGCCACGTCTATGACGGAGTACAGTCAGCTGCCTCACATGATGACAAAGACAAGGACTATATCACCAGTGTCTCAGAGATGGGAGCCTACTGGGAAGCCTTCGACGAGCCCTCATTCAAGTGTCGCTATGTACAAGGTCAAGGTCGGGACCTTGCAAAGGCTGTGACGACAAACTGGAAGAGATAGAGTTTGGAAATTCAAAAGTAGAGTTTTATTGGGTTATTGTTGGAGGTCAAGGATTGTCCTTGATGAAATATTAAGTTATTGGCAAATAGATCTTCCTCAGCACACATATATACACAAAGACCTTTATTAAGCACCCCCTGTATTTTTTTGCAATGATAAAAACAATACTTTTCTGACCCAAATGATCCTTTGACTCATAGAAAAGACAAACTTATTGGCATGTTTATTTTATGATAATAATTGCTCATATTAAAATGAGCACTGCTTTTCATACACAGTCATATCTGTACAAGTATAGCCCTGGAATGCTTAATGTTGAATTTATTGGTAAATGTGAACACACAAAATGTAATTTTGCGTGTCTTACACGATTAAAGGTCAATGCCGAGTGTAACCTCCGTGTGACTGTATGACAGTCACCACTCTCCTCCTCATACCTT